ACACACGTCTCATGTAAAAAGAAGTGAAATCAAGCCAAAACATAAAAAAATTACCATACACAAAATAGACCTTCTGACAAAAGCAACAACAATAAAAACAAAATACAACAACAAAAAAATAGTCTCTTTCGCCAGATGTACTGCCAAGAGATCCCCCCAAAAAAAGAAGAAAAAAGAAAAAGAAAACAGAAAAAAGGAAAAAAGGAAAAAAGAAAAATTAGAGACATGAAGTTAGAGCCAAATTAAAGAGAAGTGAGAAATTTGGTACGAACTTGCTTGAAAATGAGGAAAATCCCGGAAAAATCCAGTGTGAAAAATCCCAGTCAGGCAGGCGCACGACTAGACACCTTCTCTAGTAATCTCCCCAAATCGCCGGCAGATCATCGTCATCATAGTTCATAACATTGTTCTGCTAAAACCCAGGCGGACGCGGGAAAAAAAGCAAAAAAGCATCAACCAAAATTGTTGCAAAAAGGCTGCGAAAAATCCAAGTCAGCGGTGCGCAAAGTTGTCTTTTCACTAATATTGTCGCTCTCTCTCTCGGGGTGCTTCTTACTATCTTACTTGTGTGGGCATCCACACATCCACACAGACACACACGCCGAACGAAGTGGGGCCGCTGCAATTGACAGGTGCTGGCTGCAGAAGTCAAACTGAGAACACCGGAAAACGACACGTCCGATGATAGTCGTCGTGAACGGCAAGGCAAGCCACCCAGAAAGAACTGACTGAAGGGAGCGAATCTGTCACACCCGAGCAAGCGGCGCTCGAGCTCGCACTTTTTGTTCTCTTCGCGACTGTTGACGTCTTCGAACCCCCTCCCCTCAGACCGCCCTGCCCACCCGAAGAGCAGACGACAAGCGAAAACCCGCCCGCGCGGCCTCTCTCCATTTGTCCATTTGTTCCCTTTTCGTTTGGCGTGGATGGGACGGTTTGGTTCTGAGTTGGCCAAACGTTGTTTTCTGATCTGTCGTCTGTTCAGCCTCTCCCCCTCCCTGCGGCTCGCTTCGGTGGAAAAGCGTGCGACCAGTCAGAGCGACAGACAGATTTTTCTGACGACCGTAAGGATTTACCCGCCACGACCTGGCTCCCGGTTCGACCAATCGCTGCGAGGGATTGTGGGAGGTGGGCGGGGCAAAGGTTGACAGGAAAAAATCGATAATCTCACGGTGGCTCGGGAGGCCTCATCTGTGACACTTTGTTGATCCCGAAATTACGGGAGGAGGGAAGTGTGTGTGCGTGCGT